TGCTTGGGAACTTGTGAAAAAAAAGTTTTGACATCTTTTTCGCCTCATTCTAACAAGATCTCACACAACACATTTGAATCATTGTATAATAAACAGTTTTTGTATTTAATAATTTTCAGCAAAATTGATTGACTATTGAGGTTAGCTTTTTGATTGTTGATTTGAACAAATCAGATTGTAATTACGCGATAATTTGCACCAGTGCAAATTATCAGATAATTGCATACCAACTGGTGCGAAAACTGGTGTTTTGACATTTTTTGACAAAAAATTTAAATTTTTGATTTATGAAATTCTCTCATTAAATACAACTCGTGCAATGGAAATATATTTATAATTTTCGACAAATTTGCACTCATGCGTTTTTAACTGAAAAAGGCACTCGTGCACAAATGCATTCGAGCAAATTTCCCAAAAATTATCAATAATTTCCATTGCACTAGTTAAATTACTATTGACTATTTTAATAGCTGTCACCCACAAGCTGCGCGCGCAGTACAGGTAAAATGAGAAAGGTCCATTAAGTGTGTGTTGGATGAGTGGATTAGAGATATGGATAGCGGTTATGGTGTAGTTGCAGTTTTTCTTGACCTGCAAAGAGTCTTTGGAACAGTTGATAGGGACACTCTTATGTTTAAGCTCAAGAGTATGGGATTGCTGGGTACAGCATTGAAATCGTTTGGCAGCTATCTTGAAAATCGAAAACAGAAAGTTAGCATGAATGGATATGTTTCTGATGAAATAGTTAATGATTATGGAGTATCCCAGGGGAGTATAGTGGGCCCTTTTAGTCCAAGAGCTGGCAATACGGGTATGTGATCGTTGCAATGGATAATTTCTACATAAAACAATAGTTCATAGTAACCTTCAAACCAAATGGATAGGTTGCCTCGATTCTCATGGCCATAAAGTTGTTTTATGAAAAGATACTTCAAGAACCATAAGCGCAACAAATGAGAAGTACCTTACGGTGTAGGGGGTTCTCATCATATGCGGCAAACACTTTATTAACACAATTTCATGTTTCTTTTTTTGCGAGTTTTTTTGTCTAAAGATCTACAGCCGCATACAAAATCCTCTTCACAGAGTCCTCTTTTAGCTTTGAAAGTGACTTTGAAGGCTGTCACTTTCAATAATTTGTATTTAGCAAGCAAAATAATGCATGCCCTTGACTTTCAATGAGAGTTGCCATCATTTCCGACCATCAAAATCGAGGCTACCCTATATATTATTTGAGAAGACATATTAAAGAATATGTCTCCCAATTTTCAGCTATTGCAACGATAACATTGTTCCTTCGGAAAAAGAGGGGTAGTTTACGTCCAGCCATCAAAGGGTTGCGGCCATGAGAATCGAGGCCACCCATCCATTTAGTTTAAAGGTAACTATGAGCTATTGTTTTATGTGAAAATTATCCATTGCAACGATCACATACCCGTTAATATTGTCGGCTCTCCTACTATTTGAAATTTATAATTTATATTAATGTCATGGCACAGCCTAAAGGCCGTATCAGACGATTACGATTGAGAATTTGACCAATCAAAATGTACCTGCTTCTGGTTGCAATTGCCGTTTTTATGTTTAGGTTGGAGTCGAAATTTTACGAGGCCGTTCTGAACCGTAGCCAATAAAAGCGCTTTAGGAACAGCATGTGACATGTGTCTTAATGTCACTTTTTAAGTTTTGCAATTTATCGGTTCTGGTGTTGCACCCAAACCGATTTTGGTTTGGATCTTTCTCTTTCCTCTTCTTAGAATATAATCATATAGGTAGCACAGCAACGCAGGAGAAACTTTCCGACGACGTTCGGCGCTGTACTTTGAATGTTTTAGCTGCGACATTTAGAAGTTATTAAATATAAACATTTCAAGCTACCAGTAAGGTAAAACGCTAGTTATTGACACTATAAGGGACATAATTACTCTTCAGCATTTTTTTTTTTACCAAAACACTTAAGGTGTTTCTTATATTTTTATATTGATCTTTGGAGATTTTTTTATTAATTTATTATTAAACTTTCAATATAGTGACCTTATTTCCATTACTGTGATTTTTTTTTTATTTGATGTTTTCCATACCAGTGATTGACATGGATATTTTCCCAAAATTTAGTAATTGACACCCAGTTATTGACTACTACTTAGTATTAATTTATTTTCCAAAATCAGTTAAGAACTTTTCTCTTAAATTTAACTAATGCCATATAACAAAAAACTAACATGTAGGTATGTCTAAAAAATAGTATCAGATACATCTACAGGTTCTGGAAAAACATATTTTACCCTATCACCTGATACTATCATATTTGGGAAAGGCAATTTCTTAATAATCTGAGTAAAACTTATTACAGATACATCAGTTGCATTTAACTTAAATGTAGTTTTTTAATCATTACAACAAATCATTCCTACTACTTCAGCTTCAGAATTAATCAATATTTCTTGAACAACACAAGCAAAATTCTTCCAGTTTTTCTTGCCAGGAAACTTAACTAATATATAGTCACCCCCTTGGATATTTTCTTTTTCAAGGACTATGTTTTCCTTTTCAGAACTCTTTAATTTAGTTATGTTTATTTCTTCATCACTGTTCAGTTCAAAACTTTCCTCATCACGTTCTCCACTTGATGCCCACTCTTCTGAAAGAGAATCTGAGTCACTTATATATTTCCTCCTTTTTGATCCTACTGGTTTTCTTTTTTGTAGACTTTTTGAAGTTTTCTTTCTTTTCTCACTGAATTTTTGTTTTGTCTCTGTATCTTTTTGCTTTTGGAGTGCCTTCTGTTCTCTCAAAATTAATTTTTCTTTTTTCTCTTCTATTTTTCTTTGTTTTTCATTTTCCTTTTTTCGATGGTATGCCTGCCATGCACTCGATGTCATTACAGATGGAATTTTTTCTTTATTATTCCTTTTCTTAGTATTAGGTTGTTCTTCAGGCCAAAAAAGTGCTTGCTTAAATGGAGAAGGAACTTCAAAAGGAAGTTTAGCTGTACTTGATTTTACTGCAGTTAACTTTTCAGGAGTTTCAGGATCTTGAAATAGGGAAACATTAAATGAAATATCAGAGGGTCCTGCCACTGGACTTTTTTCCCCATTATTTAAATGTATTTGTGTTACACTTAAATTATTTTCTTCTAAAGAAACCCCAGAGGAAGAAATTCCAGAGGGTCCAGGCATTGAATAGTTTTCTTCCTTATCATTTTTGTCTAAAGAAACCCCAGAGGAAGAAATTCCAGAGGGTCCAGGCATTGAATAGTTTTCTTCCTTATCATTTTTGTCTAAAGAAACCCCAGAGGAAAAAATTCCAGAGGGTCCAGGTATTGAATAATTTTCTTCCTCATCATTTTTGTCATTGACATCTAATAATTGACACCCCAGTCAATAACTGGATTTACTTGAAATAAAAACAAAAAACTTGAATTGGCAACATCCTCTTCACCTCAGGATCTTAATGCAAACTAAATCTTAAAAATATCTCATAAGTCAGTCTTTGACAGGGTGTCAATCACTGGTCTTGGTATACATATATGCATTTCAGTCATTGACACTCATTTTTTCACAGTTTCCTTTTGTTAGGCTATGTTTTTACTCCTTATTTTGAATTTTTAGGGCCGATACTTTTGCTCTCGATTAACGAATTTGATACGTTGTCAAAGTTTTGCATGGGCCAAGGTCTATAAGTATGATGAGGTTAGAGCACATTCTAACCCCTGATTATTTTTAACGGCTGTCAAATGAGAGCAAAAGTACCGGCACTTAGTCTATTTTATAGATCTGATTTCACTACCAATACCAGATATTTAAGAATTAAACTTTTTAAATTAAGGTTGAACAACTTACTCACCTTAAGAATCTGATTAAGCCACATATATCACTGTGCACACTTTGAAAACTTTAACACGTGTGTTGTTAACGCCGGGTCCGATAATTATGGCGGCCGATGCGGTGTTGCCAAACTGATAAAGGAAGAAGTTTATGAAGGAATTTAACACAAAACAAGGCACATTTCCTTAAAAACCAAGATTTTGTAGGAAGTGTCAATAACTAGCTGGATGTCAATAACTAGCATTTTACCTTAATTGGTAACGGAATGGTATCAAGTGTGATTGTAACTGCGACAGCAACGGCAGTGGCTAACAGAATCAGCAACGGCAAGTCTGATACAGCCTTTATGGTACTATAAAAATGCATTTGTTTGTGGATGACACCCTGATTTATTTGGCATCAAAGGACCTGGAAGATTTGATTACTAATATAGGTAGGGCTCTTTATAGTGTGTATGGCGAGGGGTGCGCAAATGTTAAAAAAGTGTACACCAAAATTAATTATTAGGGTATTTAAAGGTATTCAAATGCTATTTAAGTAAAAAACTAGGCATTTAAAGTTATTTAAATGAGTATTCAAAAGTATTTTAAATATAAAAATAATCAATTTAGAGGATCCAACCGAGATTTAAATTGTATTTAAAAGCAAAGTGTACACCATATTTAATTCTCTGCGCACCCCTCGGTGTATGGGTATTGTTATAAAAATTTATTAAAGATTAATGTAAATAAAACTATGTTATTTCAAAAATAGGTTTAAGTGAATTATTTGTCAAGATGCTCTAGATATCTGTCCATGTGGGCTAAATTGGTAATGTAGGTATAACACTCATACTGCCTCATTTCAATTACTGTTCTACAATCTTATCTTTTAAAGCAAAATGGAGTAAGTTAGCTAGGTTGCAGAATAGAACAATGAGACTTCTTTCTTGCAGTAAGTACACTGCGATAAAGGCTTTGTTGGAGTGCCTGCAGTGACTCTGTAAAAAACTTGTTTTGTTTTTAAGTAGTTATTAATCAGTATATAAAGTCAGATGCGCTAATGTGCATGTAGCCTCAAAGACAGGAAGTGTTTTGGTAATATTGTAAGTTCCTAGTTGTATGAAGAGATTTTTTAGTTATACACATATTAGACTCGACTTATATTATTTAATATATGGAAATTGTAGCTTACTACTTCAGCAATGCACATCCTAAATTTGGTAAGCAAAGAAACATTTTTTCCATCTTTTCTGGTGAGTTTATTGAAGTGTGCTCCTTGGGCAAGGCATACACAGCATGTTTTTTCTGTAGCAGTTCTCCCCATATTAATTTATCAATCAAAAATTGTTGCTGAAATACCCACAAGTTTGAAATTCTTCATTTTAAAATTTAATTTATCTTATGGAAAAAATTAAATTCAAAGCAAAACAAAACCAAACAAACCAAGTTGTCGTTGTCATAAATCAAATATTCGAGGTTGGTTGCAGTTATTTGATAGCGATTTCCATTTGTCGAACCAGTGCAAAAAAAATGTTTTCATATCCTTTTATGTTACATGCTTTTAGACAAAGATGGGGATACACTCAGTGCACGTTCATTGACAAATGGAAATCGCCTTGTGGAGAGGTAGGTTGCCTGCACTGATCTCAAAAATAAATGGATAAACAAAGAACGCTTCTAATGCTGCTAATTTACGAGGTCAAAATCTAAACAAAAACAACTGACTGGGACAGCTGTGAGCGTGCGCAGTAGATACATGTATTGTGTGTGCACAAAATCTGGCCAATGAAAATGAAGGAATTTCAAAATTTTGAACAGTTGTTCGAAAGATAAGACACTGCGCAGGCGTTAGGCTGTTCCGTTGCACAACTGTTCGTAGAATATTGACCCCAAATTTTCGCACAAATTTTGCCAATCAAGCCGTATGAATTGCTTATCCATTTATTTTTTAGATCAGTGGTTGCCTGCAAGGATAATTCACATTCTAGGCCGGGACACATCTATCATGCACTCTTCCGATCCGACTCCGATCATACAATCAGGGTCCTTGTTCTTGGAACAGGGATGCAGCGCTCCCAGGAGAACGAGTGTTCCGTCTTTGTCAATTATATTCAACTGATAATAGGAGTAACGAAGACGGAGCACTCGTTTTCCTGGGAACGCGGCGCACCTGTTCGAAGAATAAGGACCCTGATGATCGGAGTCGAATCGGAAGAATGCATGATAGATGTGTCCCGGCCTTAAGGGAGTGCTTATCGGCCTCGTTTTGGTAATCGCTGCCATATTTGGTGTGCCACCATTGCCGACGTCATAACTAAGTCGTCAGTTACTTAAACAGCCTACCTCAAGGCGAGAAATAACATGGCTGCTACGTCACAACTGGTATTTTGGCTTGGGGGGGGGGGGATTTGTTACACACAGGCCCTATGAGGATAGGCCATCCTGTAGTAGTAGTGTGTATCATCCATCCCTGGGCTGCCAACTTTATGACGTCATCTGGGTGCCTCAATATAATGCAAATCTCCATAAGGCACCCCAGATGCGTCATCAAGTTACCCATTACCAGATATTCCAGAAAACCTATTAACGTACATATATGTTATTAACTAACCAAACTACATTTTTCGGTGCCTTCGGTATTCTGATCTGAGTGCTCCGAGCTTAAATTTACCGTTCGTTTATTTAAAAAGTATACTCGGTGCAGGATCATTCGCGTTCGTTCATTAAAATTTCGGGTACTCGGATACAACATTCATTCAACTGCTCTGCAAGGTTAGTGCAGATGTTTGAATCCCAATGCGAAAATGGTCACGCACTTTTTGTGCCGAGTGCAGTCGGTTCTGCACGTGCTCCTACCCTTGAAGGTTACGCTGCACGGGTGCAAATCTGAAATTTGCTGTTTTGAATGGTTTTGTCGGAAACGTTATTAAATGCTCTAAATTTACTCTTAGTTTCCGAAATCAGAAAAGCCCTTTTGCTTTTGAATTGTTAAAAGCAAATGGTGTGATAAAACATAAAATTCGCGACCAGAGTACTTCGGAGCTACTCGGGAGAGCTCCCAACAGTGGCATCCGAAGGCGCGTTCGTTTATTCCCTCGAAGTGCGGAGCGTGTGGAGCTTGAGCTACCTTGGACAGAGGTCAGCTGATCATCAAGCAAACCGAGCTTGAAAATCTTGAAATAAAAAACGAACGGGTTTGTGTATCTCGAACCATACAACAGCTGCGCTCTGTGCGCACCATACGCTCGAAATTTTGAATGCCGTTCGTTTATTTTCTTTCGAGCGTGTCGAGAAAAACTTTTCGCGTTCGTAAATACGTCGAGAGAGTGTATCGAGCTCGCTCGATTCGCTCCGAATTTTTTGATGGTATGGAGTGTGCAGCGAGCGCCAATTTAAAAAAATTCTAAACCTACTAAGCTAGTAAAAGTAAAATTGATTTCCTTCGTGCGTGCGGAAAACGCGTTTTCACGCACCGATTTGTGTGAGAATAAATTTACCGCACGAAAAGTTTTTCACGCACTGTTTTTTTTTTTCAATTTTTCTGTCACCATAAATAATTAATCCTACTCATAGGTAATAAAAATAATTGTTAATATGCTGTTATTATAAACTTATTGCTTAAACCTAATTGAAAAATCACATTTTTGACCATTTCCTTTATCAGTAGAGCAAAAAACAAACAATTTCCGTACGCTCGTAGGAAAAATGTTGTACCTAACACGAGCGTAGGGTATTTTTTCTACTACCGTGCGTAAAGTACTCACTTTACGCACTATTCAGAAGATGTAAAATTTCACTTCACGCACTAGCGCGTAAAGTAATTCACTTCACACACTAGTGCGTAAAGTAATGTCAAAGACAGATGTCAACACTGTCAATTTGGCATTTTTCTGGTAAATTACTTCACGCACTAGTGCGTAAAGTGAAAATTCTTCACACACTAGTGCGTAAAGTATTTGTGCAAATTTATTTTTTTACACATATTTGATTGGTAGTAGAAAAAAAATTGTATGCAATACGTGCGTAAAGCACCTTTTTTCACTCATGTGATTGTCGCACTCGCCTTCGGCTCGTGCGTCAAAATTCACATTCGTGAAAAAAGGTTCACTTTACACACTTGTTGCATAAATAACTATTTCCTACAGCCGTGCGGAATAATCGATTTTCCGCACTGATATGCGTGCTTAAAATGAGTTTTATTCCCGCATGGTGCGGTAAAACTTTTTTTTTTGAAGTTTTTCCGCATGGTTGTCAGTGCGGAAAAATTTTACGGCACTGATATGTCAAAAAAAAAAGAAAAATTTTACATTTTTACGCCTGTAGGAAAAATATTGTACCTAAACACTTGCGGAAAAATTCATTTTCCGCACTTGTTAGGTAAATAGCTATTCCGCACTTACGGTTTGCGTTTTAAATTTTGTATTACAAGTAGGGTTGCCAGATACTTGAGTTTTGAAAATAGGAGACCCTGTTTAAAATTATATGAGATTTGATAATAATATATGAGAATATTTTATGTACTACAAAATACCCAAATCCGAAAAGGCTCCCATCTTGACAATTAGCTATGATTTTTAACAGATTTTGAAATGTATTGCTGGACATTCGTTTAGGTAGTTAAATACTCCTGATCCCTCAGTCTCATTTCTTGTAACAAGTTGTGTTGTTTAAACAAATCCCTGACCCATAATCGTTCTTTTTTTTTCTGTTTTTACTTATTTATTTATTTATGTAAAAAAGCGACAAAAGTAAAATATTATTTATTCGACAACGTTGGAAAAAAGTTGAATATATTCGGATAAAAAGTGGCGAGAAAATTTTCAGCCAATTGGAGCTCCGTCGTACCATCGGACGGTCGGATGGAACGCATGAGACTCCGGCCTATTACATGTATGGTAGTGATATACCTACATGGTTTCTTTTTTTTTGGATAAAAATATATGAGAAATAGTCTCATATTAAACATGCTAATATGAGATATGAGAAACAGTTAAAATATATGAGTCTCATATTAAAAATAGGAGGTCTGGCAACCCTAATTACAAGATCCACCAGAGATCTGGGTTTTGTGCATGGGCGAAGTTAGGGTATCAGATCTGGGGGGGCTACAGCCCCAGGCCCATAGGGGGAGGCACGCCGCAAGCGCTGCCGGAGTCAAGAAAAATGTTGGGGTGCCACGCCCAAAAACGTTCATTTCGACCCACAAAATGAACGATTTTGGGTGTTCTGAGCCTTCAAAAAATAAACAAATTATTGTTTATTTCTGACAGTACAAATAATATTGAACTAAATAAAAAATTTAAAAATGGGCCATATGGATCTCTGCAAAACAACATCAGAATTGGCTCAAATTAGGCATCAACAATGAGACTGAACCGGAAATGTTTAAATGCACATACCTACCTAGATTTTTAATAAAGTATGATAATTGAAAGAAAAAATTGAAAATAGGTGTTAGTATGTTTGGTTTTTTGTAATTTCTATTTTCTAATATGTGTGTGTGTGTGATGAAGTGTGAACTAGGTATTTTTAGGGGGGGCTTAATCAGTTTTTGTGCCCCCCTCTAACTTCACCCATGGTTTTGTGGCAAGAGGATTAACTTGTTAGATCATAAAAAATTTCAAGGGTGATGGCAACTGAACTATTACCTAATTAAATTGTTTTGTGGCAGGATTGACATGTTAGATCAAAAAAAAATCCAAGGGTGATGGCAATGTTACCTACTAAACTATTACTTAAATTGCCTATAACATATGTACCTACATTCTTGAGATTCTTGAGAAGTCTAGTCTTGAATTTTGTGAAATAAGTAACCTTGCCCCAATCTGTAAAATCAGATCTTCTCCTATGTAAAGGTTCTGAAAACTTTTGGTTTATTTATTTTTTATGACATGCGAAAAACGCTGCAAATAATCGATGTTGATCGTTTCTTTGTTTCAATGTAATGAACTGAACTAATGAATTTGCCACAAAGCAGCGCTTTTGCTGAGAGGATATTCTCAAGCCTACTTAAACAATATAAAAACCAAAAATAGAAATAGGATAATTCTTATACCCTCAACAACAAATTCTCAATAATTGTTAGGTAAAGAGGTAAGAGGTACCATCGTCACCAAAACACAGCATCATATCAGCTCTCGTACTATTATATGATTTTTAGGGTCAAATATTCGTCAAACTATGCTGTTTTCAAACCTCACTTTTTCTGTTTTTTTTCCACAATTCTTTTCTTAATCTTCAGCAAAAAAAAAAACAGAAAAATTGTTTGTTTTTTTTGGCACATTTATTTACAAATAAATGATGGAGGTTATGAAGTACGGAGCGAAATGAGCAAGCTCGATACGCTCCCTCGACGTATTTACGAACGCGAAAATTTTGCTCGAAACGCTCGAAATAGTATAAACGAACGGAATTTAGCAATTTCGAGCGCACGGTGCGCACAGATCGAATAAACGAACGCGCCTTGAAAACGCCTTGGTTTGCCTTCCAATAAAAAAGAGATAACAGTACCATTCTTAGAAATTCCCTAAGTGGAAGCGAGATAGAATAGTTCCCGCACTAATTTTTCAAATTTCCTGTCTATTCAAGTCAGTTATTTCAAACACCTGTCAGTCAAATCCCTCCATTTTCGTAAATAGGTTCCAGATAATTGTAACTGAATTTCGAAAGTTCGTTAAACTTGTTTTACTAATTTATCTTTGTCTTTTGGTAAGTTTTAACCCATTTCTCTTACAATTAAATAATCTAGATTAAGCACAAATACATAGGAAACATTTGTTGATTCAAAATTCGTGAAATATACCACCCCCAAGCATAGGTTAAAGAGGGGCCCCCCATGTTTTTCAATTTTTAAATTTTTAAATAGGTTTCAGGAATATAAAACATGAGCAACACCAGTATTCGATTGGAAGACTTCACCAAAATAGAAAAGGTCGGCGAAGGTACTTATGGAGTCGTCTACAAAGGAAAGAACAAGAAGACTGGAGAGCTGGTCGCCATGAAAAGGATCCGGTAAGTGCCTGGAATCTTATCGAAAAATTTATTGCTTATTAATAATTCTAATGATGTATTAAAGGCTCGAAAACGAGGATGAAGGTATTCCATCTACAGCTTTGAGGGAAATGAGTCTCTTGAAGGAGCTCCGGCATCCTAACATCGTGTCTTTGATTGAAGTTATCATGGACGAACCAAGGTAAGAACTATCTAATTATTAAGGGGGTGGTTCACTCATGTAGTAGGTGTGAAAATATCATACATACATTCATGTATATGCAGTCCCAAGTGCAGTCGATACATTCTCATGCTGTCAATAGAATACATGGACTTGTGCAGTGATAATACAGTCCTTGATATTATATTTTGTGCCGTCACAGTCACATGCAGTAGTGTACATTCCATAAACTCTGGATATACTTAGCCGTGCATCAGAAGTTCTCTAATTTACCTGCAATCTACCGTACGGGCTACATAAATCATCCTGTGTACACACATAAAAAATCAAAAGTAGTCGCAGTGAGTCAAGCCTTCAATCTTGTTAGATATTGCTTGTAACATAACGTGTAACGCCCTATTTTCTCTTTGTTTGGTGGTATGACGAGATTAGGTTTAGTTGTAAAATTTAATTTAAGTTGGGTTAGCTTTGTCAATAAGATTTTTGTATTCTTGATTCTTGGACAATAAAGCATATTTACTACTACTACTACTACTACTATTAGATTTTTTCTAACTTTCTTTTTGATTCTAACAATAAGTGATATTCAAAAAAACTAGATAAAATATTAATGCATCGAAAACGACAAATATTATTTTGTATACTATGGTAGCAAATGGTCCATTGGGTGCCTTATTGTTATAGCCCAATCAAATGTGAAAGTTAAATTTTTGGAAGAATTTCTAGGCATGTATAAGTGGCCAAAAAAGGATGATATCCAAGAAGTGATGAAGGATTTTTTTTATTTTATGGTCGAATTCAGTTTTTATCCTAACCCTTTCATTTAACAAGAAGAGAACTGTAAAATTAAAAAAAACATGCAAAATTCTCAAAAAGTAAATTTTGTTGTTTTTATACTAGGTATACTGTACTGCTTGATTTGACATTCACATAGGGCAGTTAATGAAATCATTCATTTGAACTCCTGCGAATACCCAATTGTGTTACAACTGCTACAACACCGGTAAAAGTAACTTTTTTTTTACTGTAGTGCAAATCGATTTCCAAGACTCAAAAATAACTTATTTCTACTACCGTGCGTAAAGTACTCGCTTTACACACTATTCAGAAGATGTAAAATTTCACTTCACGCACTAGTGCGTAAAGTAATTCACTTCACACACTAGTGCGTAAAGTAATGTCAATGACAGATGTCAAGATTGTCAATTTAGTATTTTTCTGGTAGATTACTTCACGCACTAGTGCGTAAAGTGAAAATACTTCACGCACTAGTGCGTAAAGTATCTCTCTAAATCAATTTTTTTACACATATTTGATTGGTAGTAGAAAAAAATTTGTATGCAATAAGTGCGTAAAGCACCTTTTTTCACTCATGTGATTGTCAAAATTCACTTTCGTGAAAAAAGGTTCACTTTACACACTTGTTGCATAAATAACTATTATTATCGACAATAACTCAAAATACTCTTAACTTGATACATTCTGACAATACCCCATGAGGAAACAATAAAATATTAAAATTTGATAGCTACACGACAAATTTGCACTCATGCGTTTTTAACTGAAAAGGGCACTGAAAAAGCACTGGTGCGCCTTTTTAACTAAAAATGCATTCGGGCAAATTTCCCAAAAATTATCGACAATTTCCATTGCACTCGACATTTAGAATTTTATACATCTGTCAAAACTGACATTCCAAGAATAAACTGACATTTTTTGATTGTTGATTTACGTTTTATGCGTGTATCAAACGTCAAATTATTGAAGCAATGTCAAAAAAGAGCGAATCTTGCTTCACGCTTCACGCGATAATTGGCGCGACACTGGTGTTTCAACATTTTTTGACAAAAAATTTAAATTTTTGATTCATGAAATTCTCTCATAAAAGCTATTTACATGTTCGAAAAAAGGACGGTTCTAGAACGGTTCAAAACATTCGCACAGTTCATCAATCAACTAAATGACAACAGTTCAGCTATCATAAATTTCAATAATAAACTGTGATATTGTTTTGAACTGCTCTAGTACCGTCCTTTTTTCGAACCCGAAAATAGCTAAAATACAACTCAAGCAATGGAAATAAATATAATATAGTACACGCTCTATAATATGAACACTCGTATAGTGAACAACGCGGTTTTGTGAACACAATACTTTGCATAGGTATTGGGTACTTTATTTATTTGTTTATTGTCTAACAGGATAAACCCAATAACAAGACAATTATAATAATCTCAAATTAAAGACTAGACAAATGTTATTGTAAACTTAAAACTAGGTTTTGACATATGCTTCATATACAAATACATGAAGTAACTAACTATAGTTTGTAATTAACAATCAAGAGAAAACAGATGTAAATTAAGTATATTAAGCAGCATCAACAGCTTCCCCCAGCAAAACCCCAGGACAAAAAGTTAACCCCAAGCTAATCAGCAATATTCCACAAAAATGCAAGATTCAATAATCAATCAAAACAATCACTAGAGCAATTTAATTCAGGAGAGCATTTTTTATCTGTGATATAATTTTAGTTTTAAATGACTTTACAGTACCATTGAAAAGATCCAACTCAAGTACAATGGGTATTAATTGATTATGCCATGAGCAGGCTCTATATATAGGCGCATTTCTGGCGAGATTAGTATGACAGTTTTCCAGATAAAATTTATGGTGAGTTCGGGTGTTTGCTGCAGGAACCAAAAAATTGAGGCAACTCAATATTTCAGCCGAATCAATTAAATTATTGCATATTTTGAAAATGAACAATTGACTGGCAAGAATTGTACTTTGCTTAAGTGATAAAAAGTTAAATCTTTCTAGTAATAATTTGTGGTCATATCCCCGTGGAGGGTAAATGCCATCCTGCTTAAAGCTTAGGTACTTGAGAAATCTGCGCTGGACATATTCGAGCCTGTCAACATGTACATCAGAACTAGGAAACCATATCAGAGCTGCATATTGTAATTTTGATTTTATCAATGAGTTGTACAAGGCAATCAAGCCCTCCGTATTTGTGAAATCTTTTGTAGACCTAATAATAAAGCCAAGTGTTTTCAAAGAAGCTTGAACGATTTGGTCAATATGTTTATTAAAGCTTAGTTTACTGTCGATAATTACCCCAAGGTCTCGTATGGAATCTACACTTGAAAGATTGGTATTTTCAAGTCTATATGCAAACTTCACTTCATTATGAAGTTTGGAAATAGTCATAGAACGGCATTTATTAATATTTAGCGGAAGTTTATTTGTGATACACCAAGAAGACAGGGAGTCAATGTCGTTTTGTAATTCTGAGCAGTCCTGTATGGTGTCAATAATTCTAAAAATCTTCAGATCATCAGCAAACAGTACACAGTTAGATGAGATAGTGTCGGTGATATCATTCACAAAAATAGCGAATATTAGAGGAGCTAGATTGCTTCCCTGAGGAGCGCCACTTGAAGCGCTGAAGTCAGCAGAACGAAAACCATTGTACTCCACAAACTGTGTTCGCCCACTCAAATATGAGATAAATAGATTCACCAGGTTCCTATGAAACCCAATGTTGTACATTTTCCGGGCAATGAGACCATGATCCAACTTATCGAAGGCCTTGGAAAAGTCAGTATATATGACGTCAAGTTGTTTCCTATTATTGATAGCTTGATAAGCTCTTTGTAGGAAACTTGTGAGATTTGTGATAGTTGATCTCTGTGGGAAGAAGCCATGTTGAGTAGGAGATATTAGGTTTTTAACTTGATGGAAGAGATTGTTGTGAATACAGATTTCAAAGGCCTTCGAAAAGTTGGACAGTATGGAGATAGGTCGATAGTTAGTGATATTATTATTTTGACCTGCCTTAAAGACAGGACAAATCTTAGTTTTTTTCCATTTTTCCGGAAATATATTATTTCTTAAAATTTTATTGAAGATAAGATGTAAGGGCACTGATAGAAACGGTGAGCAATCACGCAATATAAAAGATGGTATTTTATCATAACCTGCAGTTTTTGTATCCTTTAATTTTTTGAGTGCACTGCACACTTCAAGCTGAGAAATATTATTAATGGATATATTTTGAGAGTTGTAGGGCTCGACAGGGTTAATTGAGAAGGGATCTGATGATGCAACATATACACTTTTGAAAAAATTGGCAAATCCATCCACTATGTTTTGCGGGGACTCTAAAGACAATTGGTCCAGAATCATTGATCCTGGTATACGAGATTTTTGCCGTTTTTGCCGGATATATTTCCAAAAATTCTTAGGTTCCCTTTTTATTGATGATTCAGTATTTCTTATGTAAGATCTGTAGGCTTCATCAATTTCTGCTTTAATAGTCTGCCTAAGAGTCGAAAAAAAGTCATAGTCACTTTTTAATTTAGTTTTTTTGTAATTGTTGTGTAGCCTTTGTTTTTGGTTTAAGTGTCTTATTATTTCTCTAGTGTACCAAGATGGATATGAGAACTTATTTTTTGTGTTTACATGGAAAAGAGGGACTGACTGATCAAGAATATTGTAAAATGTCTCGTAAAAGAGATTAACTGATGTATTGACATCTTGTTCATCATCCAAGAAGTTCCAATCTGTTACTGATAGTAACTGATACATAAGTGGATAGTTTGCTCTTTGAAAGTTATAATTTTTATTTGTGTTGCAAGGGAAGTTTCTGGGTAAAGAGCCCATTTGTGGATCAATTTCAATTGTGAGGGTGGGGTGAGCAAGATCTTCAGGAACTAGGGGTATAGTTTGTCTGTTAATTTCACACTTGATGTTTGTAATGACAAGGTCTATTATGTTACCATAGTGGTTTGGAATATTGTTCAGTTGATCGAAGTCAGTTAAAGCTAGAAAATCTTTTAATTTAAGTGATTTTGTATGAGAGTTGATGTTGAAGTCACCAATTATGATAACTTATAACGTGAACAGCAAGCCGCTCGATAATATGAGCAATTAGTCAATATCAAGATCAATATGTTTCAAATGAATTACTTTGTGATTGTGAAGATCCATCTAATTTCCGCCCTATATCGCTACTT